GTCTATTGAAATAAAGGTAGTAGCATGTTTGTAGTCATATGTTATCTGTTAGATAGGGGTTTCCAAGGTTGCATTGACCCTTAGCAGGTGATTATTCAGGTGGAAGAATACACATCACATGACGGCAAAAAGTTCCATTGTCAAGCGATTCTTTGAAAGAAGAAGGTGGAGTGTTGATTTGTGTGACACAGTTCCTTTTCTTTAGCTCACAATCACGCATGTTGCGAGTCCCTTTGTGTGCCATTTGAAAGAGATCTCATTTGATATGCAGATCAATTTCCCTTAGTTATTGAAACGTTGGTATACGGTCACCCCTGTCTTGTCTATAGTGGAGACGAATCGCGATGCAAAGCAGTCAATCACTGCTCGTATGTCAACTGTTTAATTCCAGGGACAACCTTTGTAGCACCCTCAAGACTCTCGATGTCTTTCCAAAGTCAAAGCTGCCAAACCTTTAACGCATATTCCGGCTGCATTCGCACGAATATTCCATATACTTTCTGAAGGTGTATTAATTCACGTTAACAAATGTTCTTCATAGTCTCTCGCTATGAACATGGAGCACTGTGTTGGGACGCTTAGGTCGTCCGTAATAAGTACGCCAAGGTCTCTGCACATTCACAATCTCAAGTAGCCAGAACATTTACTACACAGATGTTACGACATACCGTGTTTCAAACTGCATGCTGCCTGGGATTTGCACTAGCGTCCTCAAACATTTAGTCTCATAGTGAGGACTTTACTTTGTTTTTATTCTAAATTTTACTACTAGTTTAGTTTAGTATATAGTAGTTATTTAAACGTCGAACGATCCGGGCTCCAGCTATGTTATCACGTTCACCGTCTCTGAAAGAAGAGGAAGAAGAAGAGAGGGGGCTATTTCGTGAAACATATTATATTTTAACTGACGTTTTGGGACCCTTCTCGCTTCCACCGAGCTGAAGACTAGCTGTTCGAGCCTCTGCGGAACTGCTTCGGCAATGAGCCCAGACAAAGGGGAGCCCATTGGTGTCCCTTTCTTCTGCTCTTACACCTGGCCGTTGAAGGTGAAAAAAATTTTAAAGCACAATTCAAGGAGCTCAAGGATGTGCGCTCGTTTGAATTACTACTGATAGTGTTTATAGCCAGTGTGGGTGGGATCTCATCGAATGACACCACCACCTCGTCTGCCTTAACGTCAAGATCCTGACTGCACTTCAAGAAATCTTCAGCCAACTTCACTGTCCACGGCGAATCCTTGGCGAGGAAAGAAGGCCGCTGGTACAACCACTTTGACAGTCCAAGGGTTGGGGTGTCACGTAATGAGACGATGGGGCGTAGGGGCACTCTTGGCTTGTGGACTTTTGGCAAGCCGTAGAAGCGTGCCATCGCGGCATCAGTGGCGTTTTTGTGGCCAGCGCATCCCTTCCCGTGAGGGCGGTAGACGGCAAGACTGGCTAACTCAAGACCACCAGACGCAGCAATTACAATATTATGGCGATGGAAGCAAGAAGGGTTCCGAAACGTTAATTCAACTATAAGTTGTTCTGCGAACCCACCCCCTCTTCTTCTTCTTCTTCTTCTTCTTCTTCTTCTTC